GTTCCAATAGGCTCCATGTCCAGCATAGGGCCCAATGTGGAGCTTGAACTCACAACCATGAGACAAGACCTGAGCCAATATCAAGATTTGACACTCAAACCACTGGGGCCCTGGACTCATTCTTAAAATATTCCTCAGGATGGTCATTCAGTAATAAACTGTCTGTTATGTTGGCTTCGCTTCCTCCCATCTCCCTTTCAATTCTTGGGATTTGCTTTACATTTTGCTGCCTTGGGACTCAGTCATATATTTAAAAGCATTTTATGTTCCACTTCTTTCCACATCTAACATTTTTATAGTTTGAAAGTTGACTTATATATTTTTATAGAAAATAAAAACCCACTGTTTTTGCCAAACTAGAAGCAGCCTGTGTACATTTTTTGTAAATGTCTTATATCTCCTTTCTCAAGTTGTACATTCTTTCAAGCCTGGGCACTGTCTTATTCTTCACTGTATCTCTCCTATCTTCCTGACCCCATTTCCAGTGTCTAACATAAATAGTGTTCGGTCTTTAAAAAAGAAAGATAAAACGGTGTGGTCTACTTGAGAATGAATATGTTCTGTCACTTTTGAATATTTTGCTGTTTGGAAGTCTCAGAGATTTTTAAATGCCTCATGAAAATTATTGGCAATATAATTCAATTAAAATTATCTGGTCTTTTTCTTTTTTTTTTTCTATCTTGGGTCATATCCAAGCTCCATCATTTAATACTCCTGGGATCTTGGGCAACTGAGTAAAGATATTTAAAGCAAAAGTGGAGAAGAGCACAAGAGGGTGTTTTGGACATAATGAAACAATATATATATGAAAAACCTAGCACAGCGTTAGAACATTGGGATCTGCAAGGCATCTTTCCCTTCCTCAGAAAACCCAGTAAAAAGAACCCTAGTTGCTATCATTATCTATTTAATCCTTGTCCCTTTTGGTGCATGTAGAGTTAAAAATGGTAAAGAAATTATTAATTGAAAATAATTTTATTTTTTGGCAACAAAATATGGATTTGCCTTATAAAATACTCTGCTACTGGATTATATTGATTTACTTTCTGTGATTTCAGTTCGTTTCTAGTCTAAATGATGAATAGCACTTGAAACAGTATACGGTAATGTTATTTTTAGTAGGCGGTAACAGTTAATAAAGGAGTTTCCCAGTTGAAATGGGGGCACTAAACAGCTATGATAGCAACAAAATATGTAATTTTTTTTTCTTAATGGAAAACAGTGAACATATAGAATGTTATGGAACCTGAATTCAGAATCAGGATATAAAAGAAATGTTTCAGGGTTTGTATGTCTCTTTGCACTGTTGCTTCCCTTCCCTCTTCCCTGCTTGTCTTCTTTCTCTTCCTCCTTCTTTATTCCTCTCTTTATTTTTGACTCTCTCCCTTCTTCCCTCCTTTTCTCCCTCTCTTCTTCCTTCCCTCCCTCTTTTTCTTCCTTTCTACATTCCTACCTTCCTTCCCTCCTTCCGTAATTGCAGGCCTGTACCTCTCTCTCCCCTTGGGAAATGGAAAAGCAACATTAAACACAAGAATTATATATCTTTCATATAGTGGTATTTTATTTTTTTTTATTTTTTTTTTTAAAGATTTTATTTATTTGTCAGAGAGAGAGAGAGAGGGAGAGAGAGCAAGCACAGGCAGACAGAATGGCAGGCAGAGGCAGAGGGAGAAGCAGGCTCCCTGCTGAGCAAGGAGCCCGATGTGGGACTCGATCCCAGGACGCTGGGATCATGACCTGAGCCGAAGGCAGCTGCTTAACCAACTGAGCCACCCAGGCATCCCTATAGTGGTATTTTAAAATTTCACATCTTTATTGCATTTATTTATATGTACTTCGCAAATTTCAAAATGATTGTAAATATCTCATTAATTCCATTCAGTTAGCAATTTTTTAAAAAAGATTTTATTTATTTATTTGATGGACAGAGATCACAAGTAGGCAGAGAGGCAGGCAGAGAGAGAGGAGGAAGCAGGCTCCCTGCCAAGCAGAGAGCCTGATGCAGGGCTTAATCCCAGGACCCTGAGATCATGACCTGAGCTGAAGGCAGAGGCTTTAACCCACTGAGCCACCCAGGCGCCCCTCAGCTAGCAATTATTATTGAGTAACTACTATCTACCAGGAACTGTACTAATAACTGGGGATACAACAGTGAAAAAGTCACCGTCCTGCTTTATTCTTACAGACCAGTGGAGGCACCACTGAAGTAAACAATCACCATTCCAGAGCCGTAGGTACTAAGATGACTGGGAACAGAAAGTCCCTTAAATTGAAAAATAAAGAAAAATTAGTGTTAATTTTCTTACCAGTGATTGAAGTGGGGAAGAGATTTCAGATCTGAAGTCAAAAGATGGCGTGTTCAGAAAACTGCCCGCCCAATAATTCAGTAATAGTGTGAGGGAGGGCATAACAATGAACCTGGAAAGTTAAGCTGTGTTTGTAAATCATGCTAAGGAATATGACAGTTATACTAATTTCAGAGGAACTTACATAGGAAGACATTTGTGCTTTAAGATGATGACTGACTGAAGGATGGGAAATGAGTGTGGGTAGCCACAAAATCCGGTTTGGGGTGTTGCTGAGATGAGAATTGATAGTCTTTGACTGAAATATAGAATGTGGAAGACTGGATGATTGCTAGGTAGAGGGGGTGAGAGCAGTCCAAGAACATTGTATAGTTTCCCAGCATGGGATGGAAGAAGGTGGCCTTCATTGAAACATGAGCTGGTTGGGTGGGTGGGGGAAGGGTAGGAGAGTTTAGTTTTGGAGATTTAGGGTGTCCATCTATGTGGGGTGTGTGTGTGTGTGTGTGTGTGTGTGCGTACATGTGCTCAAAAAGAGGACTTTCAGTATAGATTTGAGGAACATAGCCTATCAGGACTTCAGATATGGCTTTGGGGCAAGATATAGATGATGCTCAGAATCATGAGAGTGAAGAAAAAGCCTAAGGAAAAAAAAATATAATCTGAGCAGAGAGAAAGATTAACATGGAACTATGAGGATAATCAACATTTAAAAGACCCATAAAGAAGAGAAGTAGGTTAGGTATTGATTAATATTCATTTATAAAATAGAAGTAAGGAGAAGAAATATTTTTGAAATTGGAGTACAGAGCGCAGAGCAATGAAATGCCAGATTACATGGAGGGCTCAATGACTGGGCAAAATTATGGATTTTCCTCCCGGGATCCTGAATGCCCATACTTTCTTTTTTTATATTTTTTGGTAATTTTATTTTTTTTTTTCAGTGTTCCAAGATTCATTGTTTATGGAGCACATTCAGTGCTCCATGCAATACGTGCCCTCCTTAATACCCACCACCAGGCTCACCCGACCCCCATCCCCCTCCCTTCCAAAACCCTCAGAGTCCACAGTCTTTCATGATTCGTCTCCCCCTCCAATTTCCCCAAACTCACTTCTCCTCTTCATCTCCCAATGTCCTCCGTGTTATTCCTTATGCTCCACAAGTAAGTGAAACCATATGATAATTGACTCTCTCTGTTTGACTTATTTCAGTCAGCATAACCTCCTCCAGTCCCATCCATGTTGATACAAAAGTTGCTAAATGCCCATACTTTAAACCCATATATATATAGGTTTATATATATATATATATATATATAATTATATATAATATTTCTATTATTATATATTATTATATATATTTTATATGTATATAGTCTTTTTTTCTAGAATATGGGGGAAATATTACTTTCCTAATGTTTTTATGAAATGTTCGGAGGCATTCCTAACCCTGATCTATGGTCCTGTTTTTCACTCTACCTTCCCCAATTGCTTCGTATAGTCTCATGGGGTGTCTTGTTTCTTGCTGTTACATTGCAGAAATGAAGAGAATGTAGTTGAAAAAGAACTCTGGTATGCCTTTAAGAAATCACATATAAAAGAATATTTTGAATATTCAACTTCATATAATTTCTATGATTATGCAGCTTCATAGAATTTTATTATGAATACATCAGTGTGTCCTAAACTTCAGTATACTGTTCATTTTGAATATGCATTCTGAAATTATGTTTCAGTTGTAGAAGCAAATTAAGATGAATTGACAAGAGGATCGGTGTGCTATAGAAGAGAGAACGCTGCCCTCGGCAGTAATAGGAAATTTGAATTCTAGTTCCTAATACCACATTGCTGAATTTTCTCATAAATACCCTTAACTTCTTTGGGCCCAAGTAATGTGATTTGTAAAACAATGACCTCCAGTGTCGCTTCAACTTTTAAAATCCTGTAGTTCTTGGGCACCAGGGTGGCTCAGTCAGTTAATCGTCTACCTTTGGCTGAGATCATGATCCCAGGGTCCTGGGACTGAGTCCCATGACAGGCTTCCTGCTGAGCAGGCAGTCTGCTTATCCCATTCGTGCTTGTTCTCTCTCTCTCTCTCTCTGAAATAAATAAAGTCTTAAAAAAGCCTATGATACTCAATTTATCTAAACAAGCAATATAAGGTTTCTATTCGATAACTAAGGCTACACATTTTGAGCTCACAGAGAAATTCTAATAATTGGGCCTGAAATATTTGAATAAGTTTTAGCCGCCACAATGATGTTCTAAATTACATGAATGTGATTATGTGAGCACAGGAATTAATACAGAACATTGCTACGTTACTTAGTACTTTACTGTGGTCTTCCCCAGCCCCCTGCCCCATTTATGTGCCTTCCCTTTGTTTCTTAAAATTTTCTTTCAGGAGATAGCATGATCATAAAGGCTTACATTGTTTAAATATGGTATACACAGGGCAATAAATATCCACATCTAGCTAGATACAGAAATGGTGCAATTGCTCAAGTTAAATATTTCCTAAGGACACTCCTCTGAAAGAGTAAATGAATTGCTCTGGGAGTCATTTGTTACAGTTGCAAGAGTATCCGATGGTAAGAGACAATCCTGGAAAAGAAAGAGTAGAGAAAAGAGAACGGATGTTTCTAATTATGGCTTCACCTATTATAACCTCCTGATCTCCCAGAGACCTATCAAGTCATGCTCTTCTTCTTGGCCAAAATGTTAGCATTCCCAAGGAATGAAGAATTTTGTTTCCTTTGGATTGCTTGTGTTTTCATCTCTGCATGGGTTCAGCAAGGAACGGAAGCCTTTCGGTGTGGCAATGGATTGTCCTTGCCTCCTGACAACGTGTGTGACTTCACGGATCAGTGTGGGGACAAGAGTGATGAACAGCAATGTAAGTGCCTTTCTTCTCCTTTCCCCAGTTTCGATTCCCTGGACACCTTCAAACCAGGGGCCGACAGGCAGCCCAGGGAGATTAGACTAGGTACATGGCCCTAGCTTCATTTATACGCCTTTAGTTTTAATCGGAAACTAAAATATACTTTTCAATAAGGAGGTGGGTTCATAGACCAAAATTCCCCTCATGAAACTATATCAAATTGCTAAGCTTCTAACTGAAGGGAATGTATCCTAAACTAGTTTTAACTGATTATAAAGAAGGAAGTGATAGGCAGTCATGTAGCTTTTAATGTATCAGGGAAACAAAATTCAAAAGAAGCTCATGACTGAAGCTTTAAAATGCTGTGATGGAAATGATGAGCCTAAATCTGGCTTCAAGATGGAAATGTTTGAAACGACTTAGGCTGCATGAGTAGATTTGATTTTTGCTTATAGGACACTACCTCCCAGTGAGTTGGTACTAACTGCACACGGAGTACAGCATGGGCTTGAATCCTTTGATTCCGGGGTGCTGGAAACAGCTTAGGAGAGTGCAGGACCTAGATTTGGATCCTGCATAAACCATGTACTATTTGTGTGATCTTGACCCTCTATCTCATTACAAGAGGTTGTAAAGTGAGATACATTGACTTTCAGCAGTAGGAAAATGCTCCACTGCTAACTGGTATCATGTGAAAAAGGAAACTGTTCACCAAGGCAAGATATGGATAAAGACATGCGTGTTTCTGTCGTTTTCTCTTGCAATCCGACATCCTGAAGGAATACTGCATTTCTCTAGTGGAACGAGGGTGATCACCTTTCACAGACAACATTTTCATACAATTAAGTGAGTTCATTGTTGGTTCGTAGTAACTGCTGGTTCAGTTATTGGGGGGCACTAATTCTAGTAGTTTAGAGCACTTAAACATATTTTCTAGTTTTTATTCAGATGCTATATTAATTCATGTTTATGGAATTTTTCACTTTCTTCTACTAAAATAAATTTCTACATGTTCAGTTTTGCTATTGTTGCTAGGTTTCCATATCTTCATTTTTACTATTGTTGCTTAGTTTCTATATATTCAGTTTTGCTATTGTTGGACTTCTACTTACGTAGTCAGTTGTCGTTGGAGCAGAACAAGAACAGTGAATAGCGAAAAATCTCTTCTCTGCAGAAGAAAACAAGCTATTGATTTGTTTCCCATAGATTGGGACAGCGATCATGCCGTTAGTAACTGTTAAATACAAAATGCCAGCGAAGACAGAGGTTCATTTATATTTGTCCAATTTGCCCAGAGAGGCTGAATGTGGGTGTGCTGCCCTTTCTCTGATCTGTCTGGGAAAACCTTTCCTCTTCTTTGGTGAGCAGCAAAGAGGAACCACTTGGCTGGTTTGACAAGAAGTGCAAAGTCCCTTCCCTTATTAATCTCTGTGAAGCTTCCTTTAGCACGCTTGCTGTGATAACATGCATGGTCCTGCTTCAGGGAAAAGGTTAATGTGAAAGAAGGGGAAAGCTGCTGAGTGCAAAAGGTCTGGGCTGCATGAAAAATTCTAATAACTCGTGACCATGGAGAGAAACGAAGGAACAGATGTGTCGAATAAACAGATTTCATTTTAAATGTTACATTAGGAGATCACCTTTTGGCTTTTTCACTTTTCATTTTTGTTCCTGAGAACTTTCCACTTTGGTATTTTATTTAAAATTGGACTATAAACTTGTCGATAAAAACTGAGAATCACTATGAAGTGTGAGTTGCTTTTGTACACCACAGGAGGGGGAAAATATTGGGGAGGAATAATGATGGCAAGGGATTTTTCTCATAAAAATTTGTGACGCTCAAACTTATAGATGAGACTTCTTTTAAAAAAAAAGTTAACTTTTTAATGATGTTAAAATAGTCCCTTTTTGAAAAAAAAAATCAACCTGTGTCTCTTTTTAGCATCCAAATGGTGTGACCTTTAAAGAAATAGATTACTATGTTGACTTTTTGTAATGAAATTGGCCTAGTTGTAGTTGAATTTCAGATGCAACTGATTCTATTAATAAGTTTTTGAGAATTTTCTTATTTTACATGATGGACCTCCTTTTCAGAATACTTGAATCTTTTGTTTTAACTCAGATTTTTTTTAAAGATGAGAGTTTTAGAAAGACAGTCTTCACAATGAAATAAATTCTACTTATATACAATATTGAGCATTTAATATATAATGATTAAGGAAAATAATTTTTTAGGTATCACAACTGTTTGGTTCTTGTGTTGACAAGAACCCCTCTCCAATATAATTTACCGATATCCTGAGCCAGGGAAATAAATGTTGTAGTCCTGGGTGTCTTTTTAAAAAATCATGTTCTAAACATTACATTGCTTCCATGCTGATCCCCATTGCCCATCATTCGCTTTGCTTTGTATTTGTTTATTTTAATATCGGAACCCTTATGTCAACTACGGAGAGAATCTAACTTCTCTCCTAGCAATTTCTCCATATTATTTGATATACAAAGGCTTGACTGTTATATTTTTCCTTAACAATAAAGAAAGGAGCCTTGCTTATATTGCAACCATTCAAAGTCAAATCAACCAGAAGATTATAAACTACTATTGATAAGTGTTGAGCTAGATCTCATGAAATGGATCCTCACTGTTGATGTGTTGCCGGAAAATAAATATTCTTAGATAATTACTTTTGCATACCTGAAGTCAGTATTAAAATTAACTGGTACATGCATTCACTTTTAGAGCTAACTGTGACTCAAATGAAAAAAATATATTCCGTTAAATTGACATTTTTCTCTCCTATCTATCTGTCACACTTAAGAACTTTCCGTTTGGTCTAGTGTTTTCATAAGGAGATAGGAATCTATTTTTATACTTTGATTTGAAGGAATACATCATAAGAGTTGGGGTTTTACCTTATTTCTTTTGCAAACTTTTTGGATTTAGGAAGAAGAAATTTATTCAAAAGGTTTTTACTTCATATAAATCTAAATTTATATGGGAAAAATGTAAAAATTACCTTAGAGGTACAGTCTCAAAATGAGAGATGACAGTGTTTAATCAGGTGATGTTTAAGTACAAATGTTATTTCTTTAATAGGATGACATGTCAACTACTTTTAAAAAGTAGTTCATTTAAGGGACGCCTGGGTGGCTCAGTGGGTTAAGCCTCTGCCTTCAGCTCAGGTCATGATCTCAGGATCCTGGGATTGAGCCCCAAACCTGGCTCTCTGCTCAGCAGGGAGCCTGCTTCCCCACCCCCCTCCCCTGCCTGCCTCTTTCCCTCTTTCCCTACTTATGATCTCTCTCTCTCTGTCAAATAAATAAATAAAATAAGACAAAAAAGTGGTTCATTTAAGTATGAAGTTAAAGAATTAATGAATGAAATGTGAGATTTCATGTACAATGTTTATCTTACTACTATAATGTATGCAAAATGTTTGACATATATTTTCATGAAACAACTAAAAATTCTAAGCAAAATGTGTTAGTTTGGGCTATTATAACAAATACCATAAACTGGGTGGCCTAAACAAAAAGAACATTTAATTCTCATAGTTCTGGAGAGCAAGGAGTCTAGGATCAAAGTACTGGCAGATTTGGTGTTTGATGAGAGCCCTTCTCCTGTTTTGCAGATAGCTGTTGGGTTTTTTTTTTTTTTTAAAGTTTTATTTATTTATTTGAGAGAGAGAGAGAGCACACACATGTGCAGAAGAGGGGAGTTGAGGGACAGAGGGAGAGGAAGAGAGAATTTCCCAAAGGCCCCACCTCCAAATATCTTAACACTGGGGATTAGAGATTTAACATATGAATTTTGAAGGGATACAGATACTCAGTCCATAGCACAATAAAATTTAAAAAATCTAATAATAAATATATAGAGCCTAGCTGAAGAAAAATTGTAAAAAAATTACTGATGTATGGAAGAAAGACTCATGACAAGACTATTTCCTAATGGTGTGCTTCAATAGTGTAAATATGTACATTTTTCACATTCATGAAATCAATCTTGTTAAATTCTATACAGGATAAATTTTGGAATTTATCTGGAAATCTGACAAAAGTGATTTGCAAGTTCATTCAGGAAAATGTGTGAGAATAGCTAGAATAGAACAGTGGAGAAGAAAATGATTAATAATGGGGAATAACTTTTATTAGTAGGTTTATAATGGGTATCATGTAAACTACTCCAACATTGTTAAAGTTCAAAATTAGAAAAGCATCTGGTCACTAGAAATAATAATATTTCTACATATAAAAATATTAAGAAATATAACATAATATCTATAATATATTAAAAAATAATGGTGGCATTCGAAGTCAGTTCATAGTACTTCCTATAAGTCATGCATTGTTGAGAAATTTCCATTGAGTATCTCATTTAATCTTCACCAAACATCAAAATAGTAAGAAATATTATTGTTCCCAATTTACAGCTTGGTAAAAAGAGGTTCACTGTCAAATAAATAAAGAATCTTAAAAAAAAAAAAAGAGGCTCAGATTAAGTAAATAAAAATGCCAAAGGACACAGAGTTATTTAGTGGAGGAACTGGAATTCACAACCAGTTCTGTCTGATTCTGGAACCCTTAATTCTTTTTTTTTTTTTTTTAAGATTCTATTTATTTATTTATTTATTTATTTATTTTTGTTAAAGATTTTATTTATTTATTTGACAGAGATCACAGGTAGGCAGAGAGGCAGGCAGAGAGAGGAAGTGGAACAGGCTCCCTGCTGAGCAGAGAGCCTGATGCAGGGCTCGATCCCAGAACCCTGGGATCATGACCCGAGCCGAAGGCAGAGGCTTAACCCACTGAGCCACCCAGGCGCCCCAAGATTCTATTTATTTATTTTAGAGGGAGAGAGAAAGAGAGAGTGGGCACAGAATAGGGAAGTGGGGAGAAGCAGACTCCCCAGTGAGCAAAGAGCCCAATATGGGGCTTAGTCCCAGGAGCTGGAGATCATGACCTAAGCCAAAGGCATACACGTAATTGACTGAGCCACCCAGGTGCAGCCTGGTACC